GAACTGTTCTTGTCAGTCGAGAGTACTCTCCGACGGCAAACGCTACAATGTTTTGTCATTCGCCGAAATTGGCATCAACAGCAATTTGCACTTGTTGAAAAATCGAAGGTACCAGAGGTCCAAAGGCTTTCGGGGCACTGGGAGCGGGTCATTGGTGAAGGAGGGATTTACTTAACTTGAAGCCAAAATATTACTTTTTTATCTATTCTCCTCTTGTTTTATTCGAAAAAACCGACGGCACTTTTGAATGGGATGACCTAAAACTTCAGCGGTTATTGGCAAGATGCCAACGGGAAACGGGTATGTGGCAAGAGAATCGTAATTCGCCGCGCCAGTGGGCGTCGCGTGCGACGTCGCGCCCGCTAATGACGACGATTTCAGGTGGTATTGGTCGAGAATAGACAATGTATGACCAAAAATAGACATAAGTGTCTACATGTCCTTGTCTACATGAAATCCGATGCTCCAACCGAAAGGTAGTGCAAATTGAGGAAACGTCGCGCCCATTGCCGCACGCGACGAAGCGGCAATTTACGATTCTCTTGCCCGTCTCCCATGGGAAACTCGTCCGAATTGCTTCCTTCACAGAGTGAGCGTGACGTATCCCACCTGTAGTCACGGTGTCATTCGACTTCTGCGAGTATCGCTCTTCCGCTTGATGACGTCTGCATGACCCTCGCCGCTGACTGTCGAACAGTTAGCGTGGGAGTAGAAGTCTGCTCCCACTCTATCTGTTAGTCTAAGTTTGCTGACAAGACTACCTGTACAAGGAAGTGGTTCTTCACCGCGGTTTCATTGCGGAACACTTTCTTCAATCACTAGCCTTCTCTCCCCACCCCCCTCCCCCCTACCAACCTCTAAGTTGCCGAGAACTTTGCATTAGCTTTAATATCAGCACAAATTAAAGGGGATTAGATCATGAAATTCCATCACTCTGAGAACTTTCTTCTTCAACCCTGTCCTTTATTTCGTAAAATGTTAGACCTTCAGAATCTAATGTGGTTAAGTTTTTCGTAGTTGAAAGTGAAGACAAAGGAAGGCAAGTCAGGCTAAGTGCTTCTAGGAATCCTAGATGGCATCAGCAATTCTTTTCTAAACCTTAGGGATGGAAACTGTCATGATACATCAATGCATTCTTGTGAGATACGCACAAATTGTTTCCGTTTTTTGTAGCACAATTTCCACTTGAGCAGCATTCACTTTGTGAGCAACCTAATCCAATAAGAAGTAATTCTGTCGAACTAGTTTTTCAGCTTTTGCGCGATATTACGAACCATTTCCTCGGCCTTTGCGCGCTAGTTTTCTTTGAGGA